CCACGTTTTTTTTTTTCAGAGTTTAGATTAGTCTAAATATTTAATCCTCAAACAGCGATTGATGAAAAAGAAAATATAAAAAAAATTGTCAAAAATCATTAATCGTCTGAAGTTATTTTTGGTTCTCAGATTGTAATATTTTTAATAATTTCTGAAGAAATTAAATTTTATCGTTTTGGAGGGAAAAACCTTCTTCGTCTCTTTTTCTCCAATTAAAAACATACTTGAAATATTTTAATTTAATACTCTAAATCTGTGTAATTCAATTACATTTTTTTTATAAAATAATATAAAAATGTCTTTGTAATAAAAAGGAATTCAGTCATACCTCTGTTTGCCCCTCCTTTAGTAGCTTACGTAAATTACACACTGCCAATACGTCATAAATAATGGACTATTCCGTTTTGATGGCATAGAAAGACGGAAGCGAGATATCAGAGACGCTACTTGGTTTCTAAAAAAAATATATATATATATATATATATATATATATATATATATATATATATAGATAGATAGATCTGAAGAAACTAATACATAGATAGTTAGGGTTTGATCAAACTGATAGATAGATAGATAGAATAGATCTGAAGAAACTAATAGATATACCTGAAGAAACTAATACATAGATAGATAGGTTTGATCAAACTGATAGATAGATAGATAGATCTGAAGAAACTAATACATAGATAGATAGATAGGTTTGATCAAACTGATAGATAGATAGACAGAGAGATAGATAGATCTGAAGAAACTAATACATAGATAGATAGACAGATCTAAAGAAACTAATAGATAGATAGATAGATAGATAGATAGATAGATAGATAGATAGATAGATTTGTTTGATCAAACTGATAGATAGATAGATCTGAAGAAACTAATACATAGATAGATAGATAAATAGATAGATAGATACGAACAACCTTGATAGATTGATAGATAGATCTGAAGAAACTAATAGATAGATAGATAGATATGAACAACCTTGATAGATAGATTGATAGATATGAACAAACTTGATAGATAGATAGATAGATAGATGAGTTTGACATCTGTTACAGTGATTGGAAAAAGTTTTGAATTTCGTATCTTTTCATTTGTACCCCCTTACTTGTTTAAATAATGAACAGCATTCATATTAATGACTGCTATTGCAATATTTGGTTAACGTTGTTAAGCTCAAATAATTATCGATGCGACAGGGGTAATTCAGTAGATATTTTTTGTTTTATCGTAAAACTCGTCTTTACTTTCGCAGATTCGGCGGATAACTATTTCTTTCTTATTGTTATTTCTTGACTATTTGATGTCATATTGAACACAATGTTTACATTTAATATTACAGTATTATTGTGGAGTATTGTCGGAGTTAGCTCCTCCTTAATTCCCAAATTGTCACCAGGGGTCATTCTCCCCTTACTATAAATACTGGGCGACTTCTCGCCTCGTTCTCTTTTTCATTTCTTCATTTCAGCCACTACAATGTAAGCTGTCTTAGAAGATCCGTGTCTTCCCATGAACATTATACACACATACATACGAACATTCAACAAAGAACAACAGCCACAAACGTTTACACACACACAAATATTATTGTCTATGTCCATTGTAAAATTGTTTTGTTTAATACATATATTTGTTTATATATATATATATATATATATATATATATATATATATATATATATATATATATATGTATGTATATTGGTCTTGTTTGTCTTCTTTATCTTCAGTTGGACTTAATTCAAGTCCGGCCATTTTCTTGTAGTTGAACCTTTTAATATTCTACCAGAAGTTACACATGTCCTCAACAGTATAGACTGTGTTATAATCACCGGATATCTACGCGTCTGTGTAAATACTAGCCTGCTTCTACTTTTATGTGCCGCGGGCATAGGCAATCATGGCTCTCCACAACTTCTTATCCCTTATGTCTCTTAGCTGTTTTTCTCTATTTGCTAAGGTTCCCTCTCCTCGTTGTACCATCCATTCACACAAGCTCCTTCGTTAGGTATATGGCTTGTTGCCTTCCCTATTAATCTTGTCGTCAATATTCCCCGTGAGTGTTATGTTTTCCAAGCTGTCCTTCCTCATTATTGCGTCCAATTAATTTTAGCTGTCTTTTACTGATTCTGTGTATAATCGCTCTTTCTGTTGGCATTTTCTCTGAGTTTTTTCTCTGGGGAATTTCTACGGATATTTTATTGTCGTAGAACTCGCCATGAGCTTAATAAGTCATTAACTTAAGTATTTAGATTCATTAGAAAATTAAGGTCGATAAACCGTGACATTTTCACAGTTTGTCTATTTATTAATATTAGCAGTTATTTTACGAAATCTTAATATAAATGTAGTTGGAGTTCACTTGTGAGAGAATCAATTTCACCTTCTCGTTTATTCTTTGATGTTAGCTTTAGCAACAATAACTTTCTTTTTCTTGTTCTCTTTTCTATCTCTCATTCTCTTACCATTTGTCCACCGCAGAAAACCAACTCTCGTTTAAGCGATGATCGTAGGATCTAAAACAATTTCACCCCCACCACCCATCCGATTTGTATCTTTTCTGTTATTTCATCCTAAAATAAAAATAATTTATATTTACTAAAATTCACGCCAAGTTTTCCCAGAGCGAGGCCCTTCCATTGCACACCCGTTGTGTTGACCTTTCCGATTGCCCCAAATATGGGCGACTCGGGTGCGCTGTTTCTAGGTGTAGGGGGGTCTGCATTCACACGCTCACCGATAAACAAGCCAAAAACAGATATTTTTCTTTCTTTTTTTAAATTGTAAAATATTCCTTATCAGCACCTCGAATATCGTCCGCGCTTACGAAATGTGAATAACTCCCTGATTTTTGGTTATTTTTCATTCTGAAAGTTGGAGTTGTTGTGAAGTAAGCAAGGCAAATTTAGATTTAAAATCTATAATTTCAAAAGAGTGTCAAAAATGTAATAAAAACAAACTTTCATGCAGAATTTATAACAATAATAATTATTTATTATTTTTATTATTGTGGGGAGCATAATATTTGCGATACGTAACATTACATTATTTAGGCGAATTAACACACAAGATCCTGCGATTTTTATATTCTTATCGTCGGTCGGAAATTTGCATGTTACCAGCAAAATCTCGTATTTGCAAGAATGTAACACTCTTAAATATTTGCTTTATGAGTGGCCATCTTTTTATTTCTGGATTTCTTTAAATGCACGGGCAAAATCTTTGTGCCGGCGGTGAATTATTTTTTCTTTATTTGCTTTTTACTTCAGTTCTCCAACCATAATAAAATTACTTGGCAAGGGCAGTTCTCTGATTATTTCCCTTTTAAATTAATAGAGAATCAGCATTAGACGAGATAAAAATGATTCTTTTAGAAGCGTTGTTGGTTGGATTCAAATTCGTTAGTATTTGTCAGCTTGAAATATTCTTCCATTTGGTATCAAGGCACATGATAAACGAATGTCCCATAAGGAAAGAAGTGTTAAAAAGTTGAGACACTTTTTTTTTATAACTCTCCCGATAGGAAAACTTGTGCTACATCGAAGACGGGTCTTCTTCTTTTATGTGCCGTATCCCTTCAGTGCGTAAGAGATCATGGTCCTCCACATTCTCCTTGTAACTTTTAACAAGTTTTGTCTTTTAGTCATTTCTACCAAACTCTGTTCTGCGATCCATTTGCTCAAGCCCATTAAGTATATCCCACGTTCTCTTGTCCCTCTTTCCATCTACCTGTCATGTGAGTATTAGATTTCTTCTTCCTGATACGTATCCTAGAAATTTCAGCTACCTCTTCCTGATGTTTAGTATAAGTTTCCACTTTCTTTCCATTCTCTCCAAAACCTTATTGTTACTCATATATTCGGCTCATGGTATTCTGTAGAGCTACATTTCTGTTGCTTTGAGTCTCTTCGTCATCTTTGAGGAAATTGTCCAACATTCGTTGCCATATACGAGGACAGATATCACGTAACAGTTCAGTACACTTTTCTTTGTTTCCAACGAAATTTTTCTGTCTCTTAATACTTTGCTTAGCTTCTGGAATGTGTCTTTGACCACCCCAATATGTCTTCGGATCTCAGTGTCACACTTTCCGTCCTCTATTAGAACACTTCCCAGATATTTAATTTTCAGAAACTGCTTGATTTTTGTGTCCCATGTCATGTAAATTACATTTTGGGCTCATCGTGCATTCTGTCTTCTTGTAGTTTATGCTTAGTCCCTTCTTCTCTCTATTCTTCGCTATCTTCTGTAGGAGGTTTTGTAGTTTTCTTTTCATGTCTGCTATTACAACTGTATCATCTTCATACCTTATGTTGTTAAGATTGTGGCCGCCAATGATGAATCCTGGTTCTCTAAGAATTGATTCGTTGTTTTGACTAAGAAGACACATCGTTGCCTTACAACCCTTTCTATTTTTTTTTATATCTGTCGAACTGATTTTTATCTGTATGCAGGCGGTTTGCTACCAGTAGAGATTTTTTATTATTCTAATGTATTTTCCGAATATGTCAAGGTTACTGAGCAGCTCTAACAGCTCTCTGCGGCATACTTTGTCGAACGCTTTTAAATAGTCTATAAAACACAGATACACCTCCTTCTGCATTTGTATTGCTCTTTCTGATAACATTCTGAGCATAAATATCGCGTTCCTTGTTCAGGTATCTTTAACGAACCTGCACTGTTCTAACTATTTGTAATTGAAAAATCCCTGAACAGTTTTGCTACTAAATTCAACAGCTGACATCATTATGAAAAGAGCTTTGAAAACGGATTTACGTACATCTCTTGTCATACCACACATATGGTTGGCGTACTAATGTTGAAATTGTTTCTGTTTTCTATTCAAGATGTTGCACTTCATTCGTGCATGGACTACGCATGCGTACAAGTCTATACACTTGTATGGAAATGAGGCAAGAATTATTTCAATATCACTCTACCTTCCGGAAACGAAGAGGCATGAAGCCCCACGGGAATCCTGAGCTTCTTCTATGTTTGCTTTCATTTTCGTTGACTCTTTGACTTTCTTCTCTCCCAATCTCTCTGGGATATTTAGATCTGTTTTGTCTATTATTACCATCTTGGTATTGTTCTTCTTTGTCTATGTTCATATCCTTAGGGTTCTCTCTTATCTTCCAGTGACTCATTGTGTCTAGTTTTATTTTCTTCCTTTAAAGGATCCTGAATGGAATTAATTTCTATAACTTCTTCTTCCATCTCCTTTCATAATTCTTGACCGTGTTTTAGTTGTTTGGCTTGAGTAATAGCACCAAAGGCCGCCACGTACTAAAGTCGACCCACCTCTCCACCCCGACTGGGGGGAACCAAGCCTGATTGTAGACCCGGGGCAGTACATTTTTGACGCTCACAATATTGTCAGCATTTATTTTTTAACCTATATTTATAGACATTACAATTTAAATTAAGCACAACTGACTATTAAAGGATGAATTATTTTCACGGATTTCGACGTCATTCTGAGGTCATATTTTTACTCGTCTAAATCCATGAATTTGTTTTGTTCGTGTTAAGTCTAAAAAAAAACAAAAAACAATATATAAAAGTTATTATTTTTCATCCATAATGTTGAATGTATTTAATTATTCAACTTAATAACCAGAAAAATTTCATGTTGATTAAAAATTGCCGCAAACCATTGTTCATTTAATGGATGATTTCTCTATTTTATATTTAGATACATTGTAGTTATTTTTTAAAGTTTATCTACTTGAATTATATGTTGTTAAGATTGTGTGGGCCAATGATGAATCCTGGTAGGATTTCCAGTCCTCTAAGAATTGTCTCGCTGTTTTGGCTGAATAAGTCCGTTGAGAAGACACGTCCTTGCCTCTGATCAATTACTTTACATAATTAGGTTACATTAAAACTTGTATTTTATATGATAACTACCTTATGAAAATTGACATGAGACGGGACTCGTATCATAAATTCGAGGGAGGAGGGCACGGAACCCTTGCAAGGTCCCTTCAGGCGTCTTTTTAAAAAATACTATTGCTGTATTTTGCCCCCTTTTTTATTATAAATTTGACTCTTTCAGTAGTAGATCCCCTATTTTCCCATTTCAAATATTATTTTTGGATTTGAACGATTTTTGACTGCGGAGGCTTACGGCGATA